AGCAGCTGAAACCTCTTTGCTGTTTCAAATAGAGTTAAGTGCTTGTGCAAACACAAAAAATGAAATAGAGATAGAGAGAGAGAGAGAGAAAAAGAGAGAGACAGCAGCTGCTGAAGGGCTGTCTATACACCTCAGGGTCTGTCTCTCTTTCCCCGGTTTCGTCTCAGCTTTTATTTCATTTAAACTGATATATACAAATGAAACAAAGACAGCTTGCAGCATCAACCTCGTCGTCGCCATATATATGAATTAAGCATGCGGTTGTTTGTTATAGACAGCCTCCTTCTCTGCTTCTCTTCTTTTCTCTTTTTCTCTTTTATAATGCTTCACTATTGCTGCTGCTCCTACCAACAGACCCGCAGCAGCTGCTGCTTCTAGCCCATATCTTTCTACTTTTAGTTTTAGTTTTCGCATCTTCTGTTTGTTGCTTCCTTCTCTTGAAATCCACATTTTGTATCCATACACGTCTGTCCCTCGTCTTTTGTATTTCGCCTCTGCGCTGCTGCTGCTGCTGCTGCTGCTGCTGCTGCTGTCGGTTGTGTTGAAGCCGAAGGCCCGCATTTCCTCTTTGAATTTTTTCCACGCCTTCACTGTTGCCTCTTCGTGTGCTGCAATCTCCCTCTCAATAGCAGCACCATCAACAGCTTGTTGTGTGTTTTTTCCTTTTTCTTTTTCTCTCTTTCTTTGCTCCTCTTCAACTTTGTTCTGAAAGCGCCTGAGAATTTCCTGCTGGTAGGGGGAGGCGTCCTGCCCCCCAACTGTATTTGTTTGGTTTTTATCTCTTTCAGCATCGGCCCAAAAGCGGGCTCTTTCCCTTTGCTGCTCCTCCCACTGGCGTCTTGTCTTCATTTCTTGCGGTGAAGTATGCGGCTGCTGAGGTGCAGCAGCAGGGGCCGTTGATCCTGGCTTCTGTGCGCTGTCTGTAGACCGCACCTGCTGCTGCTGCTGCTGCTGCTGCTGAAGCTGCTTCGCCTTCTCGTACGCTCTCCTAATTTCAACGAAATCAGAGGCCCTTGAGCCTCCAAAAGGAG